CCTTCTTCTCCACATCCTCTCCAGCAATTGTCGTTTGTTGATTTGTTGATGATAGCCATTCTGACAGATATGAGATGATACCTCATTGTTGATTTGATTTGAAGGTCTCAGATGATTATTGACTTTGAGCATGTTTTCATATGTCCCTAGGCTTTCTGAATGTCCTCTTTTGAAAAGTGTCTATTTAGGTCTTTTGCCCATTTTTTGATTGGATTGTTTATTTTCCTTTTGTTAAGAAATATGAGTTCCCTATAAATGTTGGAGATTAAACCCTTATTGGTGATAACATTGGCAAATATGTTCTCCCATGCAGTGGGCTTTCTTTTACCTCTTGAGTTAAGTTTATTCCTAGGTATCTTAAATAATCCGGTGGGATGGTAAATGGGATTGTTTTTATGATCTCTCTTTCTGAAAGTTCACTATTGGTGTATAGAAATGCCTTAGATTACTTGGGGTTAATTTTGTATCCTGCTACATTGCCAAATTCATGTATTAAGTCTAGTAGATTTTGATGGTGTCTCTAGAGTTTTGTATGCATAATATCATGTCTTCTGCAAATAAGGACACTTTTACTTCCTCTTTTCCAATTTGGATGCTTTTTATTTGTTCTTCTTGCCTAATTGCAATGTCTAACACTTCCAGTACTATCTTCAACAGGAGTGGTGAGAGGGGGCATCCCTGCCTTGTTCCTGTTCTAAGGGTTAATGGTGTTAGTTTTTGGCCATTGAGTATGATGTTGGATGTGGGCCTGTCATATATGGCTTTTATTATGTTGAGGTATAATCATTCTACTCCCGCTTTACTGAGAGTTTTATTAAAAATGGGTGTTGAATTTTGTCAAAAGCCTTTTCTGCATCAATGGATATAACCATGTGGTTTTTTTCTTTCAATTTGTTTATATGATGTATCACGTTTATTGATTTTTGGATATTGTACCATCCTTGCATCCCAGGGATAAATCCTACTTGGTCATGGTTTATGATCTTTCTGATGTACTGCTGGATCTGATTTCCT